CTTTTGCTATTTTGTAAAATGTTGTCTGTCTGTTAATGTTTTCCTCCTTTTATTTAAAAAAAAAATTTCCTGGGTTTTAGTTATATTATTTTCTACCTCTCTTAGGACAATAAAAGGAGGACTGACCCTCAGGTGCTGTCCAGATGCAAAGGGGTGGAGAGAAGTGACTTCCTCAGCTCCGCTGTTCTAACAGTACTAGTGTATTACAGCTGTTAAATGGAGTTTCCCTGAAATAGAATGATGTATTGAGCTGTTCCAGATGCAGACTACAAAAGGACTAGGGCCTGGGGCAAGTTCTGAAACCAGCAGCTCCAAGACAAAATAGCAGTTGAAAACATGTCAGCTGAACCCAAGAGCCAAGAACATTTTTATAACAGAAATTTGGGGAAGAAAAGCATAAATCGATTACATTGAGTTTACACTGACTATGGATAGGAAAGGCAGGACAAAGGGAAGTGGGGAAAGCTTTGAGGTAGGACTGAGACAAGATTAGGGCATGGCACACTGACTGGGGGAGTAGGCACGACCTGTGGGGCACAGAGCTCCAGAACACATGCTCAGAGTATTTCCCGAAACCCTCCATTTGGAACCAATCAAAGTGTGCTGTCTTCAATTCTTCTTGCAAGAACTTGAGCAGGTTTCTGATAGGACTGCCTAGATTTCACATCAGCCTGAGTATTAGATGCAAAAGAGGGTGCTCTCTTTCGCAGTGGTCCACTCTCACCCTATAGAGTATACTTCTTTTCCTGTTTTTTGGCCCTTGCTCTGCAGAGCATATTCCTTTTCCTATTTTTAATAAATGTAAAACCTCACTAAGTTTTTCCAGTCATCATGACCAATTCTTTGTTTAGGACAGAAAGAACCTAGAAACCATCTCTACAAGGAGACTCCAACACCTCAAACACCTCGTAACAGGAGAACATTAATTTGGATTAATAGTCCAGAAAGGTCATTCCTAAATTTAGGCAGACACAGTGGAACCTAGTGACCAGCTACCTCGGGTTATAAGTCAAGATTTCAACATACATTTAGGAATAAGGAACAGTTTTCTGTTGGTTTATCCCACTACTGTTAACAGATTAAATTCTCTTATTTCTCCTTCCTCCAATTCGCTAGCCCTTATAATTAAATCTAACACATCTCAGTGTTTTCTCTTTTACAGAAAGGGAAATTGTATAGATTAAAATTGGTCAAAGAAATAGGTACAGTGGACAGATTCCAGGAGAGTTGTAGGTAGCAGGCCTCTGGATGTCCTCTCCCAGTGTTTCTGTAAACAGTGGTACCTCCTCCTAGCAACGACACGTGATAACATACACAAAACGTTCTCAGCTGGAGAAGCACGCTTGAGCCTTGATATCCAGAGTTTTTATTGGAAGTTGGTCGTAAAGGTGTAGTTGACCACCAGCAGATATGGTTGACTACTTGTTTGTTTGACCTTCACCTCCAGCCTCTCCACATGTCGAGTAGATAATGCATGGCTTAAAGCCCACAACAGTAACATTGTCAGTGTAGGCTCAGACATGACTGCTGACCTTCAGGTAACAACGACACGCTTATTGGACAAGACCATCCAGAAATATTAAAGATTACATCTCAAGAGGTGAGAACAAAGTCCAGATCTCTCTGAGTGCAAAGTTAATTCTTTCCCATCTGGAATACTCTTTTTTTTTTTTTTTCCCCCCCAGTACCTGGAATTGAACTCACGACCTTGCATTTGCCAGGCAGGCGCTGTGCCGCTGAGCTAAATCCCCAGCCCCTCCCATCTGGAATAGATGAGTCAGCTTTCTTTTCATCCTTTCCCACTTCCCACTTCTCTAGCAGATCATATCCAGGCATGTGGACTTCATTCTGGTAGAGAAGATGAGCCTTGACTTGAGTTAGGCCCAACCTCTGCAATAGGGTAGCTAGCATAGTCATATTTCAGGAGCTTTGCAATGGTGACTCCCCTACCGATGGAGATATTCCTCAGTGCAGACTCACTCCACTTGATATGCTTCAGGACGGCAGATCCCAAGTCTCAGTCAGACCCTGTCTGCCTACATCCTCCAGCCTTGGTATTATAGTTATCTTGCCACAGAGGCCCTGTTATAGCAAGTTCTGAAGCTGATAATTTGATCCGCTACCTCACCGGCCACAGGGCAGTCTGGGAACTTCTGAACCTGTACATACATCGTAAGAGCCAAGACAAGCTTGAGAGGGGGTATAAAGGCCGACCTTCTGATGAACCAGGCCTACACGCCCACTTCATTGGTATAAGCTGATCAAAACCCTTCTCCACAGAGTTCTGAAAAAGGACTGGGCAGAAGTGCCCTTAGCTTCTACACCTGGCTCTCCCCTACTTTAGGTACCATCACACTTTCTGCACTGGTTCACAAGTCCTGGAAGGGCCCAATCACTACAGAGATGTCTGCTCACTGATAATCTTACCATGTGCACACTTCACTAAGATTAGGAAAAGCTTTCTGTCTTTCTTCTCCTTTCTCTGTTTTAAAATTTCCTGCAGTCTGAACAATACAGTTGTAAGGTGAGCACATGTCTGTCCCCACTTCTGTGACTGTGACCCACTAACTCCACTGCTAGGAATCCATCATGGAAAATGCGATTTATGGTGGCAGATGTTTCCGTCAGCTCTGGTATGAGCTGAAAGATAGGAAAAAGTCCAGAGCAGAGGTTGCTGAGACACTTGTGTATCACGGCCTCTGAAAATGCCAATGGAGAGGCCTGCTAGACAGGACCATGTCTCCAGGGCGTACAGAGGACTACAGGAGAGCTGCGGCCTACACACTCCCCATGCAGCAACAAAATCACACAGATCCGAGCCCCACAAGGAAGACAGGAAGTATGGACACCGCTAGGGAGGCTGTTGGTCCAGGGTGGGATGACCCGCATTATGTCCTTTCTTTAATTATTCAGTCACAGTGCATTCTGTATTTGAATACCATAAATATTTCTTGTCTGACAAAAAGAACTGGATAATCTCCTGAATATGTGATGAGAAATACTTGAAAAATCTACTTAGAATGTTCCATATCTAGAAAAAGCAAGCTGAAACAGTCCCTCCCTGGTTCTGTAACCCAATGCCAATGTGATTGCCGTGTTGTGAAAAAGTGTAGAATGGGGAAATGACAGGGCTATCAGATGAATGGTGTTCAGGATCTAGCAGCAACAGAGAGGGGAGGAGATCCATTTGGGTACAGAATTGGGGAAAATGTTCTAGAACAGGACAGCGGTGAAAGTTGTATGCTATTGAGAATGCACTTAACGCCACGGCAAGCCTTTTAAACAAGACTAAACCTTACATTTTATTTAAATTCTATCATTGACATAGCTCTGGTTAATAAGGATAGCAAGAGATACAATGCAAAGCAAATCTACGAGACAGGGGAATGGCAGGTGTGGGTCAAGAGTTGCCCACAGGTAGAGCTGAAGAGCTGAGCCCTGCTGTGCAGCCTCCGGGAGTTGCAGGTCTGCAGCTGGTGGAGAAGGGGATCCAGGTTCCGGCTCTTGCTGTGGTACTCGAGCTGGTGAGGGAGCTGCCGGTGGAACTGGCTCGAGCTCTGACGGTGGGACCTGAGCGTGGGCTGGAGCTGGCCCTGCAGCTGCAAGAGGAGAAAAGCTCACCAACCTTGCGTGTTCTTTCCTGGGCAAAACCTTCCCACTGCCTGCCAGAGACAGCCGTGTGCACCAACACGGCCCCAGGTCCTCATCCCCCCAGGGGCTGCTGGGTGTCTCAGTGTTCCTGGGTCATCCAGCATGTGGAAGCTTTGGTGTGTTCCAAGGCCCATGCCCTGCCCACAGGCCTATAGCCCTGCCCTTACCCTGGAGTTCTTCCTCAGGGGGCTCAGGAGGCTCCAGCTGGTCTAGAAGTTCAGCTGGGGGATCCCCCTTGGAGTGCAGCTCCAGTGCGGAGTCAAGGCCAGAAGAGGTGGACCTGGGGCAGGCAGAGGGGCAGCAAAGTGAGAGGCATGGCCTTTCCTCCCACACTAGGTCACCTGTACGGCGGCCCCATAGGCCTCCTGCCCAGTGTGTGCAGGTGCCCAGCCTGATCCTTTCCCCTCCCGGTGCCCAATGGGGCACTGTGGCCCCAGGCAGCCCCAAGAGGTTGACAGAAGGCTCTATGGGAGGGAGTCCTTGCTTAGTGAAGTGACGCCTGTGCCTTCCTTCAGGGAAGCCTGACACGGGGTCTCCTGCCCCTCCGCAGTGGCAGGTCACCTCACTGAAGACAGAGCTTGGGATCTGCTGTGTCCTCGCACTTGAGGGCACAGGGTCGCTGCTCCCTGAATATCTGAGAAGGGAGGGGTCAGTCAGAGTCTACCAGCAGGAGGGGGAGCCCACTCTCCAGTTCATGGAGCGGTGTGTCTCCCAGTTCCCTTTGGAGCTCCTCCTGTGCTGTTGTGCATCCACATCTAGAGAGTCAGGACAGCGTCCCCTTCGTCGTAATGGGAGCAATACCTACTCTGCAGTCCAGGTGAATTTTTGGCCCTCAAATAGCGTTGCACCCCAAAAGGGCAGGGCTGGTTGCATCTGCGGTGTTTCTAGGAAAGTGTCCACACATAGTGTGCCTTCCTGTCTGTTGGTGGATATATGTTCCCCATGTGCTCTTGCGTGATGTGCGTGTGGCCTTAGGTCCTTGGGCATCCCCAAAGGGTGGCTGCTCTAGGAAGACCCTGACACCTGTAGAGTGAGCCTGCAGTCTCCTTTCAAATGATCAGAACAGCTTGCCCCGAGTGCAGGTGACAGTGAAGGCGAGGTCAAGCTTCCCAGTGGGGAAGGAAGCTTCACCGTGCGAAGAAGCACAGCAGGTCTTCTGCAGGGCCAAGGCCAGGGTCAGCGTTTGGCATCAAGGTGCCATTTCATCCTGAGGGACCCTGTGCTCTTGCTCCACACCGCACCCCACTGTTTAGAGTCATCCACTGAGGCTGGGAGAGGGGCTTGCCCTTTGCCAAGCCTTGAATCCATAGGTGGCCACGTGCCACTGGGCTGCTGAGAGAGGGACTCACCTTGCCAGCATCAGGGCCTGCAGGCTGGAAATGTCTGTGGCGCTGGAGGAGTCCAGGAGGGAGGGGCTGGGGCTAGGGCAGCTGCTGCCCAGGAAGGCCGGCTCCAGGGGCTCCATCAGAGTGTGAGGCCCATCTGCCTGCACCATGCTCAAGGTGCAGACCTCCTCCAGGCTCTCGGCCGAATGATTTCCACTCTGTAAAGAGACAGTGGGGAGGTGGAATTGGCGCCCCAAACATAGCCACTCAGGAGGGCTTGGGGCTGAACCAAAGGGCACACTCCAAGTGTTCCCTAGAGGCTCATGTGGCAGAAGGGTCACGGGAGGGCCCCAGCACTAAAGGGGTTCTCCTGTGAAAAGCGCGAGTTCAGAGAGCACACCTCCAAACACTAGCCTTTGCAGACCAGCTCACAGGCTGTGGAGAGGTTCTCTATCACTGCAGGCACGAAGAACAAGAAACCGTGAGGCTTGAGACAGCCTCCCTTTGTAGAGATGAGAAAACAGATGCTCATCCTAGGGGGACAGGTCCATTGAGGAAATCACACAGAATGTTGCAGAGGTTTCTGCTGAGAAGTCCCCAGAAAGGGTCAGGTCAGTCTTCCTTCGCCTAGCAAGGCAGAGTGGCTTAGTTCACTGCCAGCCCGATAGAGGATCATGTAGCCGAGGTGAGGGAGGGGGGAGGGGCCCACCCTGTGACCCACCCTGTGATCTACGGGGCCCGCGTGGGTTCTAGGGGACAGCAGGTGCCAGGGAAAAGGAAAAAGTAGCCAGGGTCTCATGTTTTCATTGAGCACACCCGTGCCCATGGGTGATGTGTACAGAGCTGGAGACAGGGTGGAAGGACATTCAGGCAGATGCCCCACAGATCCTGGGCCCCGCAGTTCCAGAAGCAAATAGAATTCAATCATGGCAGTAAGTGCGGAGACTTACTGTCCCTGTCGCTCTTCTGATGCTCCCAGCCTGCGCAGTGACCTTGAAGCTGGCCAAGGCAGAGCCTAAGCACAGAGTATGTAGTGGCTGAAGACATAAACCCCAGATTCCTTTGGGAGCAAGACCAGAGGTGCTTTGTTTTCCACTCCTAGAAGGAGGTACTGGAGGTGTCATCTGGCTGCCCAGGTTTCTCTGTCCTCCTTGGCCCTCACACACACACACACACACACACACACACACACACACACACACACAGCCGCTGCGCTTGAGCTGGCATGTGCTGTGACTACATCCCCGTGTGTGGTGTAGGGACACCACGGGCCCCCAGGGACGTGCTCCACACCAGTGTCCTGTGTGCAGCTCTGTTGGGACAGTGCCCAGTAGCTGGCAGGAAGCATGAGGCTCTGCCTGAGCAGTATCTGCCCCTCTCTTGCCCCTGATCACCTTGTGCTCCCCACATCCCAGTCAGCCCTGTCACAGGCTGCCACTTCTGGAGGACAGGAGATGACTCTGCCGGCTTTGCATTAACACTGAGCACTGCCTTCCTCATCCTGCCAGCCCTCTCCTCAGGGGGACTGTGACGGGACCCCGGGCTCTGGGCCCGGCAACTCGTGGGCCTGTCCAGGTTGACTTCAAGCAGGAAACTGTCCCCCTCCCTCACCCCCAAACACACTGAGGATGGAGTGTTCAAATTTTGCAGGGAACTCACAGTGTTGGTCAGGTCCAGACAGACCTGTACCGGACTCGGAGGCTCCGTGCAGATGATCGCTAGTTGTAGGGACACCCGTCCTGGGCTCCCATTTGTTTCTGGGTACATGGGGCCTGGGTCTGCAGAGCCCTGCCCTGTGTGGCCCATGACCGTTGGGCGCTTCCTGGTGAGTGTCCTGAAGCGTCTGGGCTGAGTGAACCATCCTCTTACTCGTTGCCACACGGTTTCCCTGCGCGGGGTCCTGAGGCTGGTGCCTCGAGGCCTGGGAAAGCAACACAGCATTTCTACTACTGCCTGTGTCCAGCTAAGTGCCTGGGAAGGCAGTTGGCACTAACCTATGGTGCCTAGTGCCCACAGGGTTCTAAGTTCTGTTTGGACCTGTCGCCAAGGAAGTGAGGTCGTGTGTTGGGGGCCTTAGCGGAGCCCCCCCTCCCCCCGGCATAAGAAGACTACAACCTCTCTTTCTTTTTGTGTTGCAGCAAATCTGTGTGCTCCTTCGAAACAGCAATGAAGAACTAGAGAGTCTGAGTGTGATTTTAGACTCAGGTGAACTTTGAAGTTTTAGTGCAGCCACTGTGTAGATACCTAAGATGTGGCAGGCACGTCGTGAAGTGTGTTCTTCCTTCCAGAGGGTCCATTTTCTGTGAAGGTGCGGTGCTCAACATCATTTCTTAGTGATCTGTCCAAATTTAGGAGGACTTTTTTCATGGGTTGGTGTCAGTTTTCTTGCAGTTCCAATAGGGAGTGTTGTGATAAACCACAAATGTCCATAATAATTTTTCTTCCTAAATGTAAAAGTGTACAATTATAATCACTGCCTATCTACACGTGGAGGATTCAAAGCAGGTTTTACCTTTCAGATGCATTGGAGTGATTACTTATTTACACATAGTTACTGAACTTAGTCACACACCGTAGTACTCAGTACCATTACACCCTATGAAGAGGGACAGCAGGCAATGAGTGCCAGGCGAGGTCTTTGCAAGGCTGTGGATATCATCACCCCCTGCTGATGAAGGAGCCTTGTACACATTCTTGTGGCCAGAGCTATCACTTCCTGTCCTCCCATCCCATGCTCCCAGACAGACCGTGTGCTCTGTGTCCCTACTTCTGGATCGTTTGCATGTTGTAGAGGTTCAGTAGCAATATTGCTTGGTGAGTCTTCTTGAAGCTCAGCTCCAGCTGTGCTTGCTTGTTCGTACCAGAACCATCCCACGCCATTGTGTGGATGAAGCACAACTTGTTCAAGCCCTCATTTGCTGGTGGCCATTTTTCTGTTTCCCGGGTTTACCCTGAAATATGAAGCTGCCATGACCGTTCTTACGCACGCTTGAGCTGTTTCCTAGAGTGGCTACTACAAACTGTGCCACTATGAACAAGGGTGTGTGAGTATCACTGTGGTATATGCTTTTATGTCTTTGAGCAGGATATCAAGAAGAGGAGTAGCTCTGACAAATGAACCTTTATTCCTAGTCTTTTGAGGAATCTCCACACTGATGTCCACAGTGGTTCCACCAGTCTACATTTCCACCAACAGTGGAGAAGGGTTTCTGTTTCCCCACATCCCTCCAGCATTGGTTCTTAGTTGACTTTTGGATAATAGCTCTTGTTTATTTAATGAGACAGAATCTCAGTGTTGTCTTAATTTGCATCTCTCAAATGACCAGTGATGCTGAACATTTTTTTCATTTATTTATGTATTTGCTATTTGTATTTCTTCATCTGAGAAGTGTGTAGTCATCTCAGATGCCTATTTTTGAATTGGATCTTTAAATTTGGGAGATCTGATTGTTTTTTTTCAGTTGTTTATATCTTCTAAATATTAGTCCTTTGTCTGAAGAACAACTAGCTAAAGCATTTTCCCATTCTGTGAGTTGTCTTTTCACCCTATTCCTGATTTCTTTTGATGTACAACTGCTTTTTAATGAGTTGAGATCAAAGTTGTTAATTGTTTGGAATAATTCCCATGTGGTCAGAATTTTGATCATGAAGTCTTTGCCTACACCTATATCTTCATGAGTTCTAATTATTCTATCTTCTAGCAGATTTTCTATTTGTGCTTTAATATTTAGATCTTTGATCCATTTTGATTTTAGTTTAATGCATAATGAGTGACATGGGTCTAGTTTTAGCATTGAATATGTGGAAATCTGGCTTTTTAAGAGCTATTTAGTAAATAGGCTATCTTTCTTCCAGTGAACATGTTTGGCCCTTTTGTCAAAGTTAAGATGGTGAGTATTTTTGTAATTGGGTGTCCATGCTCTAATCTGTTCCACTGATACTGAGGTCTGTTTTTTTTTTTTTTCTGGTATCATGCTGATTTAATCACAGTAGCTTTGTAGTATAATTTCAATTAGGAATTTTAATGTTTCCTGCCTTGCCTTTGTTGCCCAGAATTGCTTTGCGATTCTAGGTCTCTTCTAGTTCCAAATGAATTGTAGGGATATTCTGTCTAGTTCTGTGCAGTATGCTAATAGTATTTTGATTGGGATTGCATTAAATCTGTACA